TATAAATACCAGGAATCATATTCAACTTTTCAAACAAAAGTATGCTTGCTTTTCTTCCAATATTAAAATTTGAAACAGCATCATAAACTCCTAACTCCAACTGCGTTAATGAAACATACTTTGTTTTAGGTATGCGCTGTCATATCATTCCATTAAAACTTTCATTCTGGTTTTGGGTTTTACCATGAAGGCATTTTTTTAAGAGTTCTTCTTGAGATAAATCTATATATATAGGCTTTAGATGACTGACAACTGAGAGTGGAAGACCAGCACCTGGCTTGTAGGTAGACGTTAAATTAGCTTTATCCTGTTTATAACGACACCAACTATTGATGCCATCTGGGCAATGAGCATGCCAATTATTTTCAGCTGATGATGCAACATGAAACAATGTTGCAGGTATGGCCTTTTTCATACCTTCTAAATCATTGGCATTTTGCCTAACAGCAATTCCATAGTAGTTTTGTAGGCGATCAATTATAGCATTTGTTAATTTGCCTTTGCCTCCAAGTCCTTTTACATTTTTTTTCAAAATTCGCAATCTGCTACCAACACGTTTCTGTACATGTCCAACACACTCCAACTTACACACTGTTATACCAGGATAAGTATCTTTAACATACGAATAGCTTTTACAATCACCGTCACCATAATACTTTACATACCTCAGTTTATTTTGTGAAATAGAACGGCTAAATATTCTTTGAGCACCAGTTACTTCCATTCCAGGAGCAGAGCCACGATAATTTAGTTTACATACATGTGATGATTTCCAAGCTTCAAAGGCATTTGGGTTATTTTCTTTAAGTTTTAGTTTTAAACTACATGCTTTACATGATCGACTCATTGGTTCACAATCAATAATTTTACCTGTGTCCATTGATATAGCAGTAACCACTCCATTTAATGAGGAAAATCCACGACGTTGCCAGCTACCATCAACGGATACTGCAGTATCAACAATATTTGAAGAAGATTGACAAATATCTTTAACAGCGTCAGACATTGTTTCTTTTGCAACAACTTTAGCACAATCAGAGACATGTTTAATTATTTTGTTGTAATTGTTCTTAGTCATTGGTGTAGGAATGTTCATTAAAGAAGTAAATTTTTCTAGTCCTGAATAACCTTGACCACATGCACGCATAGAATAAATTATTCTATTATTTACATCAAAATTTTTCTTCCCAGAGCATGTCTTTGAAGTATAAAATTCAATTTTTTTGTTGCAATTAGGGCAGCATATATTCAACATCAAGCTAAAACCTTTTTTTTTAGGAAAACATTCTTCAAGAAATAATCCAGATTGTAAACAATTTTTGCAACATAATTGACTTATTACACCAGATAAAATTTCAATGTCAATAATACGATAACCAACAGTTTTATTATTACTTTGATGTGGTGTTTCAATTTTTTCAACTTTTTTCGAGGATATAGATAAATCTAATGAACTATTATTGAAAATAAGGTCATTTTCAGAACATGTAACATTGTTATTAACAGGAGCTACTGATAAAGTTAAATTGTTTGTCAAATTTTTGGTATACCTATTTCCATGAAATCTTCTGGATTTTTTACTTTGAGTACTTTGTTTAACTCTGCATAATTTACCCATTATTGAAAAAGTTTATTAAATAACACAAAAATAACTAAATAGCTGGCAATTCTTATAAAAAACCCGTTGCTATGCGTGTTGCTAAGCAGATCAAATTTACCCAGTTGAAGGAAACCTTTTATATCTCAAGAACTAAGCCTTATTTTTAAAAAATGTTTTCAAATTCGGATTCAGCGATAAATTTCGTGTAAGAAAAACACAAATTATTTTTTTTGAATTTTTTAGGAATTTTGAGGGGTCTTATACCTTATAGGCATAATTAAAACGAAATTTAACATAATTAAAAAAATTTACTGCTGAAAAATTATTTTTCATTAACTAAATAATTAAATTAGACTTAAATGCGTTTTCAAGATTCATTTCCCTACAACAACTGAAAGCAAAACGACTGATGAATAAACAATAAACTAGTTTTGGGGTGCGCCATTTTAATTCATGGAAGTCAAAAAGCTTATTTCGCGACTATCTACCTTCCTAAATGCCAACAAGTCAATGGACTCCGATGTTTTAGAAATTATTGATGGCCACATTTAAAAAATATGAGATGCTGATCACTCGTTATAAAAGTCCTGCTGAAGGAACTTTTTTTTTAAGATTTATAAACAGTTAAAATTCATTTTGTAAACGCTAGTACGATTGTGTAACAATAGGTATTCATCTTTGCTATAATCAAAATAATAATAAAGTTTAATATATATATATATACATATATATATATATATATATATATATATATATATATATATATATATATATATATATATATATATATATATATATATATATATATATATATATATATATACAGGGCCAGCGCGAGTAGGTGTCACGTGGGGGGGGGGGGGGTGCCATAACGTTTTGCCTACTAAAAAAAAAAAAGGTCCTCGTTTTCCAAAATTTGCCGACTGCCATGACGACATTTGCCGACTGTCTAGATTACCGACTAACCTATAACGAAAGGGTCGACATTTGCCGACTAACTTGTCTAAAGGGGTTAAATTTGCCGACTAAAGGTCTAATTTGCCGATTGATGGGGGGGGGGGGGGGGTAGGGGAAGGGGGTGACACCCCCACACCCCCGTATCGCGCCGGCCTTGTAAATATATATATATATATATATATATATATATATATATATATATATATATATATATATATATATATATATATATATATATATATTATTTGTTACTTATCTAAATTTATTTTTAACTGGAGTTAAAAGAATATTTAGAATATGTAGAATATTTATTACTGCTAATAATTTAAGCAATTCATAATATGCATTATAAAATTGATATAAATTTTAAAACCGCCAGATTGAATGCAAAAAACTACCAGATCAAATCCAAAAAACCGCCAGATTAAATGCAAAATACCGCCAGATTAAATGCAAAAATCCACCAGATTAAATGCAAAAACCAGTATTTATATCTTATTCATAAATTTCATTACTTTTATAACTATATCTTATTTATAAATTTCAAGACTTATATATATATATCTTATTACTTTCATCAAGGACGTATTAATAGATGGACGTTTTACCTATTGTTATAGATCTGAGGCGCCGCAAGTAAACAAAAACCTATGACAACCGCAACCGCCGCAAGTAAACAAAAACCTATGACAAAACAAATACCTATAATTTTTAGCGTCATTTTTCTGAATAATTTATAAAAGTAAACCGACGTTTTTCCGATAATTTCGCTTTTCTAACTACTTTTTTAAAAAGTGCAATTACCTACAAAACTCTAACTTTTTTAAAAAACTAATACATTTTAGTTAATCAGAAATAGCTCATTTGTTTTCATACGTCTACGTTTGTCTTAAAAAATTTATGTAAATTCAGGGCAAAAGATTAAAATTTCGTTTTTGAGTTGGATTTTGCGATTAAGCCTTTACTTTCCCATAGATGTTTCTATACTTTAGGTACTTAATTAGATAAAGATTTATAATATCAAAAAAAAAATAAAAATAAATAATAATAATGGAATAACCGCGGCTTTGAATGAAAACGAAGATCAAAAATATTTAGACAGGGAAAAAAACTTACCAATTTTATTAATTTTTGGTCTGACCTAACCAATAAACATCGAGTAAAATATTAAATGTAAATTATTTGTTTTGCTTTTTTTTTTTGAATATAAAAATGCCTTCGATACAATTTGGGCAATATTTCTAAAAACTTAGTCAAATTTTGACATCTAATATCTAAAGAGCCAATTATTATTTTTTGAAAAAATTTTGGAATTGAGCTTTTAGCATGAATAGCAACAACATATTAAAAAATTAGCAATTTTGAAAGAGATCACTCTAAAAATTTGGTGTTTTTGGCTGATTCTTACAGAAAGTCGCTCTTAATAGTTAGACAATTCTCAGAGAAAAAGCCTTCATCATAAAGTAAAGTTCTTTTTTATATTTTTTAAGTAGACACTATCAAAACTGAAGCTAATTGATATCTTTCAAAAAATAATAACATTACACTTTTATTTGCGAGTGCTACTTATTATTAAAATGTAGGTTGCTGCTAAGATATAAAATGTCAAAATTTTAAATGATGTAACTTTAACATTTACAGCATATAACATACTACTTTATATGTTACCCCATATAGGGGTAACATTGACAGTTGAAGCCCAGAAACAAAATTAATTATCTATCAATAATATCAGATAACTAATTAAATTCATCATCAGTTTATGGCAGCAATATCATTAGTAAACACATAGAAATATTGCATACCAAATTTAGTTTGTCACAGCTTAAAAATTTTTTTCCCTAAAGATGTGTCAATGTTACCCCACTTTACCTTACTTTAATTTTTCGCACATTTAAAAATTTTCAGGCGCGGCTGACAAGGTTTGCGGGTTCGAATCTTCCATAGAGAACTTATTATTATTATTTTTTAAATAAATTTATTTCGAAATAGTTTGTTTTTAATTTTTTCTGTTTATCATTTTTTTTCTCAAAGTTTTGTAGACTAAATGCATCAATGGGTACATAAATCAAATTTTATAGCGGTAGCTGCAGTGATGTGTACATTATTTGACTGATTTAAATAGGGATAGGCGCAGTGTGGCGTACATGCATCGACTAAAAGTTTATACCTTTACTGTTTTAATTATTTGATGGCAAAGTTACATTAAAAAAAAAAGAAAAGTATAACTAATTTTGGATGTCTGGAAAAAATGAAATTTTAAAGAAATATCCGGAAAAAAATAATCCCTGCTAATAAGCAAATGCTTAACTAAATTATTTAATCAAAACTAATAAATTATCTATTTTTTATATTGCATTGTTAATTACAAATTGTATAAAAATAGTTTAATTCTATTGTTTTCGAATTATATATAAAAATATAAAAACCAAAACTCACATACAAGCTTAAACAAGTCGAAATATATTGCTTTTTAAATTATTACAAAAACTGGTTTAATTTAATTATCGCATTTAAATATAGGATCAACTGAATTGAATAATTTACAGACACTTAAATATTAAATACATAATAAATATCGCTTTAAAAAGCGATCTTCTGCTTTTTTTTCATCAGATCACGTGTTTCATTACTACTCACTAGGTAGCTCCAATGATGTGACTTACGACCGTACTAAAGATGAAATCATAAAAAATCAAATTAAAATGATCGCACATTTGAAGAAGATGATAAAATGTTTTTAAAAGAATTCTCCTTAAAAGCCTAAAATTTTTTTTAATGAGATCTCCTTTAAAAACATCTTTTAAACGGATGCACTAACGCATCCCTTTAAAAAATTATAAAAAACATGCAAATCCCTGTAAAACATTAAAAAAATTAAATTAGAAAACCACAGAAAGTACAATAAAACCATGTTATATACAGCAATTTAAAATAACAATTAAAAAAAATTACATTAGGTATCTGTTTATATGTATTAATTTTATCATTATAGACATATTATTTAGAATTAATTTCTAAATGCAGATATAAATACCTTTTTTAATGCAGAAAATAAATACTTTTTTTAATGCAGAAAATTTTGAGATGTAATTTTAGCTTAAATTACTAAATTATCTCTCGCTTCATAACAATATGCTGATGTAGAAGCATTTGATACAATCTTTATGCATCGTTCAACTGCTTGAGTGTGGCAAACTATCTTTACAATTTCAATTGTATTAGAAACGTAAGAAAACATTCTTGTTTAATAATTAAATTTAGATGTGTCCAGTCAAAGAATACCAACATACCAACAAAACATTTTCTGGGTGACAAAAGTTTCTTTGCAACACTACATCAATGATACTTTTGAGTTTGTTACATAAGATTTTTTATAAATCCAAAGAAATGATTTAATCCATACATACAGGTTGGTTTCATCTTTATTTTAAACCAGCTAACAGAGTACACTTTAAAAACATGGTTGATTATTGATGATTATGATGAGATGGTGATTATTAATAATTTTTTTGTGGATACATACATTCTGAACCAGGTTCTATTACGAGGACTATATGTTATTTGATGACATATTTTAATTTAATTAATTTATTTTAGATAACACTTTGTCTCTTTTTTATCTGAAAAAATTTTAAAATATTAATTTTTTTCAAATTCTTGAAGTTGTAAATGTTTTTTTTTGTTCTCTCCATATCTTACTTTGATCAACTAATCTTGATGGATTTTCTTTTGTTAAGATTTGAAAATCTTTGAAAATAACATTAACTAGTAATAAAGCAGATCTGAAACTTCAATCCATGCTCCAATTACATGCTCCAATTAGATTAAACAATTTATGTTATTCTCAAAAGTAAAAGTATAGTATGACTATGATGATGTATTGAGATCAGAAGTTTTATCTGTATTACCTGAGTTTTAAAAGTATCAATTATCAAAGTATCAAAGATGAAGTATCAAAGTATCATCTGAGTATCAAAAGATATTGCTTTTTTAATTTTTATTTTAAATGTGGATTGAAAAGGAAATGTTTTCTTACTTTTTTAAAATAATATTTTCCAGTTGTGATGATTGCTTTACTTTTTGTATATTTCTCAAGTTGTTCTCAACAAGTTGTTCTCGACAAGTTGTTCTTAACAAGTTGTTCTCAACAAGTTGTTCTCAACAAGTTGTTCTCAACAAGTTGTTCTCAACAAGTTGTTCTCAACAAGTTGTTCTCAACAAGTTGTTCTCAACAAGTTGTTCTCAACAAGTTGTTCTCAACAAGTTAGGTAACTTTTTTTATTAACATTACCTATTATGATTTTATAACTTTTCTTTGATCCACAAAAAAGCATCTTTTCATAATAGGAACTTTAACTTTGCAATAACCGTCAATAAAGATTGTAGATTTGCAGATATTAAACTTCAAAATTTTCTCTGAGGATCGTTGCTTTGTGCTGTAACTTTTTTTATCATTTCTTTAATGTTTGTTATCAAGATTAATATTCATTAGGACCATCCTGCCGCCACATCCTGTTGTTACATCCTGTCGCCACATCCTGCTGCTACATCCTGTCGCCACATCCTGCCGCCACATCCTGCTGCCACATCCTGTCGCCACATCCTGCCGCCACATCCTGCCGCCACATAATTTTTAAATTTTTGAGTAAACAAAACTGACTTTTTTGTGGTGAGGAGGTTACTTCTAACTAAGAGCTAGAAAAAATTTGAGAGTAATTGGCCAATATTTAGTTGTAGCAGATTTCAATCAAAGTATTCTATTTAGCCATAAAAATTGAAAATTTCCAACTTTTAGCATACAAATCTCTGGGACAACCTAATATATCTTTTTTACTTTATTCTGATTTAAAGAAGCTTTTTGGTATGAAGGGAGTAGAATAAACAAGGTGTGCTATTTAGGGAAGAGCAATAAAATTAGGGGAGGGGGCAGTAACCTATTTTACACAAAACAAATGAAAAAAAAAAACACACACATTTTTTCAGTTAGTTCAGTTATGGTGAAATATGTTTATGGTCTAATAGTAAAATGGTGATCTGAAATGGTTGAAATTTGATATATGTTGTAACCCATTCTGAAAATTTATTATGACAAATTGAGATTAAAATATATTTAAATGTTTATTAAGTTGACAAATTTTAGCACTAAATTTAAAATATAAAGTAAAGCTCAAATGTTAACAAAAAACTATATGTTAAATTAACATTTAAAATTGTAACATCATAAAAAAGTAACTCTATATAATAAAAATTAGAAAAAATAAACAATCCAATCAGAATTTAATGTACCATCTGATTGGTTCTAAGTACCTTTTCTTTGGTTAGGAAACATATTTCTGTTGTTTTCTACAACTTGTATAATGGTCTGGAACTTATTTTCATTTTTAGCAGTTCCTGCAAGGTCACTAGAAAGTTTTACTCCACGTTCAGCAGAATCGTTTACAACAGGTAAACTAGAAACCACATTTTTTGAAGCTAGAAAATCTACATTTTCAGCCATTCTGTGACCGATTCCCTGAGAAAACTATTGTTTATATTTATTATGGTGAAAAATACTGGGGAGTCTTCACCAATGAAATTAGTCAAATCATACACAGCCATTTTAGGTACCATTGGAAATATAAGTTTACCAAACCCTGACACTTTTCTTTTCAAAGTTAGTTTATTCAATTCAAGTTAGTTTATGTCACATAATTTTATAGTGAAGTATTTTATTTTCAATCTTTTGCCTCTGCTTGTCCTCTAAATTACTATTAAATAGAGACAGTGGAGCTACCTCTTCAGCGAGATACCACATGTGATTGCTGAAAGCTTTCAGAGCAGCATTAGCAACAGTTAATTCAATAACTTTATACTTTAATAATGAATTAATGATTTAAATAAAGTAGGATCTGCTGAAGAAGTATGTACACTGAGCCACAATGGAATATAACAAAATAAAGCAAACTGAACAATCTTTTGTAGCTTAGGAAGTTGTTTTAGAGCAAAAATTGTTTCTTTAGGTAGCTAGCTAATTTTTTTGTTCAACAGTAAAAGTTTTATAGAATATAACAATTTTGCACTTGCATTGTGCTAAGCCTAGTCCAATAAATCCCGAGAATACCATATTTTGGCTATTGCTTAGATACAACAATGTTAGTTGAACAAGTTCTCTATAATCACCTCTGTTGAAATTTTGCCAAATTGCTTGTTGGCAAAGATTGGTAGTGGCATCTTTTTTGCTTATCAAAGACTGTGAAATTTGAGGGATGTTGATGATGACAAGGTCTTCAATAGTTTGGCAATTCAGATGTTCAAGATTTTTTTTAAATCTAAAAACCAAACAATGCAGTCATTATTTTGTTGCTTATAATACTGATTTTAGTTTAATTTTAAATATTAAATAATAATAATAAAACATATTAAACATGCTACCTTAAAAATAGATTGATGTTAGCACTTTTTGAAATCTCTATCTTTAAACTGTTCTATATATAAGTTAGTATAATCTCTCCTATGTGATGTCGGCAAGCAAGCCATAGAAGTGACCTGTTCAATATATTTTGCATTGAAACACAGCCTGCAGTTATAGCCCCAGTATTTGATGCTGTTGTGTCAAAAACATGTCATTCCAAGCATCTAATAATTTATGTTGTCTTAGCAATCACTGGTTCCATCTTAACAGTGGTTTTATATGGAAGCACTGGTACACCCAGTAATTTTACACCTGAACAACCTAAAAATACATTTTTTTGAAATAGAACCAAATTCAATTGACTTAGTAACAAGTTTATAGACTTGCTAATATGTAAATTGTTCATTAGTTTCCTAATTTTACATGAACTGAATTGCTCAAGTTTTATTTTAGAGCTACCTGAAAGAAGAATAGGAATAGGCCTTTCTTCCCTAACATTTTTGTTGTTAAGTGAATCCATTAACTTGCTATCCCAATGAACAATACCAATTTTTGGAGATTTCCAGGAGCTTTTTATCTTGTTAGCAATTGTCTGTACACACTCCATTTTGTTCCTAAATTGTTTACAGTAAAAACTGCAAGAGTAAAAATAATGATTATTGAATTATATTTTTGGATCCAAAGTAAATATAACCATAAATTAAAAGTATCTAAAGTAAAGAAAAAGTAATATTTCAAACAAAACAAGAAATTTCTATTTTAACATATATATATATATATATATATATATATATATATATATATATATATATATATATATATATATATATATATATATATATATATATATATATATACCTGTATGTTGCGGTGTAGCTCAAATCAACTCTAGAAGAATCACCAGACGTGGACAAATTATTGAGTGGAATAAAGAACTGAGTGCAGTAGGTGTAATTTTGTTCCTAACAGTTGTTCCAATGTTGTTCAAATTTAGGCGATTTGAGAATATTATGCGGTATAAACAGTTGTGCCAGTTTTCAAGCTTCTTTTGTGCAAACACTGCTTAGTTTTATAAATACATCTTGATCAAGACAACTTCATCTTTATCTGATCATCATGATCAAGATAACTTCATCTTCATTAAATTGTTCTTAGAACATCTCAAGATATTCAATTGCCCTTCTTTTTTTTTATAGATTTTTTTTTTTATATATTCTTATTCAGTTTCTCTCATGTAATTTTTCTTCAACAAGGCTGCACTTAAGATCAACTGAGCCCATGGATGCTTTCCTATCAGTCATCATGCTGATCAGAAACTGTTTATTTTCTGCATCAACCAATTTATCTAGCATATCTTGTGGCCAGAATCTCTATGTTTTTGTTAGCTTGCCTTTAAATCCTATAATTTTTTTGGGTATTCTTGAAGTGTTTCTATGCATAGACTCCTCAAATAATGTTATGATTTCTTCTGTCATTTTATTTGACTTAATTGTTTGTAATCTTGCCCAATTGTAAAATGGTAGAATTGATTTAACTGTTTCATTTGCTGCATCTCTCTTAAATTTTGCAGTGAAGTGTGCAAGAAAACTTAAAAGCCCCTGACAAGCAGTTGGTAGCCTAGATCCATGTATATCCTTATCAGATTTAATGGGGATGGTTTCTAGTATGAAATATCTTAGGTTTTTAGTTTTAGCCATATTTTAATTTTTTATAAACTCTAAAAAAAAAAGATTGAAATAAGTTATTAAGAATCTGTAAAATAGCAACAAACAACAAAAACAAATGAAAAATAAAAGACAATTTGGATAAAACTGTTTTTTTTATTAAAATAAATAAATTGTAAGATTTTTTGTAAGAATACTATTGGTTAAATTGACTATTGATTACTCCAATTTACATTCTAGTAGTTTCACACTGATAATTATAAGTTTTTTCTCCTGATTATCAACAAATTTTGAAAAATTGCAAGAATCTTGAAATTTCAATTGAAATCTGCTACTACTAAACATTGTCCTTTTTTTTAAAATATCAGATTTTTATGATTTATGAACCACAAAAAAAAGTCAGGCTTAATCAGAGCACATAAGGGCAGCAATTGATTGGAAATTATTGGAACAGATGCTTTTGATATACCTTCACAGATGAATTACCAAGCGTGATGATTGCCATAAGACATGAAACCTTAAGTTCTATTTATAAATTGTTTTTCATTTGAACAAAATTTTATATATATATATATATATATATATATATATATATATATATATATATATATATATATATATATATATATATATATATATATATTTTTTTTTTTTGGGTGATTCATACTTGACGAATTTTCGAAAATCAAGTTGGTCCTACCTGGAATGGTTGACCACCAATATAAAAATAATTTTAAGCCCAAAAATTTTAATGTCACGTGACTTTAAAGGTCCCCGTCGGTCAAATTTGTGTACAAAAACGTATCAAACTTTAGGGGTCTGGCAGGGACCTTTAAAATCAACTCAGAAAGCCAACTTTTCTTTTATATGGTATATTTTGGACTATTTATTTATAATAGAGTAGGACCAAAATGAAATATGGTGGTATTTATTTTTACATAAAATGACGCACCACTACGTATAACTGATGCTTGTTTATTCTTTATATTTAGGTCGAATTTTGAAAAATAATGTTAGGACTAAGCATTAATAATGTTTATATAGAAGGGGCATGTCAATAGCTATCCGCCCCCCTCACCCTATTTTCGGAGATGTCTCCCCCCTCCCTCCCCCCCACCATACTTTGTTCGTTGGAGACGGGAGGGGGGGGCAAGCAAATTTGTTTAAATTTTATTGTAAATCATATTATTTAAAATCACTTTATTTTCTTAAAAAAAATACTTCACTTGGCAATATAAATATTAAAATCGTGATATGTAAACATAATAAAATATAACGCAATAGTTAAATATAATATATAAATCATGTTATTTTTTTTCTCTTCTTGCATATTGCTTTATATGCTAGCTGCAACTGTTCCTTGGTTCCTGACCCACGGAGCTGATCTCGTCTTTGCTGCACAGCTAGTAAAAGTTCTTGGCGATCATCCTCGTTGTGAACATTATTCACAAACTCTAATACAAGTTTTACAGCCCTTTCAGAACTATCGTTCACTACTTCAAGTTTACTTACAAAATTGGAGAATGTTTTGAACTGGTCAACATAGCACCACATAGGAGCAGGAGAGTTTAACCAAAGTTTGTCCTCCATTCTTGTCAGGTTTAGCAAACTGAAGATGAACCAAGAGTTCTCTCCGATTAATCGAGCAAGTCCTGGTGGCACTTCTTGTTTAAAATTTAACTCTTTGATCAAGTTTGACTTCTCTGAATGCTGAAAATGATCAGGAACTGGTATGGAGAATAATGTTTTTGCAATGTTTTCTCTCTCCACATTAGAAAGGTCAGGGTCTAGGAGAGCAAGTGGAACTAAAGTTTCATCTAAGTACCAGGTGTGTCTCTTCATTGACATCATTGTGCTTTTAATTCCGTTTAGAACTCTCTTGGAATCAGCGTTGTGTTTCTCTACATGTTCTTTGTACTGCACCATTTGCCAATAAGCTTTTACATCTTGAAATGGTGCAGCTGATGGTAATGAGGTTCTCAGAAACCAGACAGAATAGAAAATCGAGATAAATTCTGCCATTGCCTTTAACTCTTTCCTTTGGGAAACAGTCAAATCATAGGGCAGATGTGTACTCAATATCTGAATTTTCAAGTAGTAAATGGCTTTTGACATGAACCTAGCATGAGAAACACAGCCTGGAGCTCGAACTTTAAAAAATATTTCAGGATGCAGATACATCAGGGTAAGTTCCAATAACTCCCTATAATCCCCTCTGAGAACAATGTCAGTGTTTAATGCATCCTTGCAAAACTGGATAGTTTCCTCAATCTGGGTAGCCAAGAAAGTATTGCTGATGGAATTGATATCAAACCTTATTAAATTGGAAGGATCAACAGTTTCCTTGATGCAATTCCAGTTTGTCTGAAACCGTTTAAACATTAAATTTTCTGGAGCTGCTGTTTTGCCTGAGGTAATTTGCTCCCAGAAATGTTTAAGATGAAGCTCATAAATATGCCTCCTGCAGGCAAGCTCTAACAAAATAGATTCCTGTCTTTGACTGAACCTAGTATTGGTTCCTGAATGTCTTCCAGTATTTGAGGCATTTGTGTCAAAACATAATCCCTTCACATTGTCACATATTCCATAATCTTCCAGTACATTATTCAAAGCTTCATACTGAGCAGCTCCAGTTCCATGCTCCATAGCTGGAATTCCAAGAAGCTTAATGTTTACATCAATATTAACTGAAACAACAAACCTGTCTCTTTTTTTTTTTTCCCATCAGTGAAATCTATAATTTTTCCATCAAAGTGAGCTATTATGGGGAAAAGTGCTTTCTCAGCAGCTTTTTTAACCTCCCTTTTGTGCTGTGCAGCATTTTGATGGATGGTTTTCTTTTTTCTTGCCAAATAGTTGATTGAGACAGTAAAAAGTTTTCAACATTTCCACCTGAATTAACAACCAAATCTGTACACACATGCAACAAATCTCTAGAGGAAATATTTTTGGAAACTGAAGTCATGGCAATATCTTGTACAAAATTCTTGGCTAACTGCGACGTATCATTACTTGGACCTGGCTGTTCGAAATCAAAAGAACAATCTGAGTCCATGCTGGTACTTGTATCACTAGTTTCAGAAGAAAACTGAAGCTCTATAGTCAAATCATCTCTCTGAGAAAACTGTTCAACACTATGTACTAACTGTGGATGTTTCAATCTTCTCTGTTCTCTCTTCTCAACCCTCCGGTTATATAGCTTGTCTTTTTTACCCAGAGTCATTTTACGTCTGGCCTTTTGATCTCTCAAAAATTTCATATCAGTACGATACGAGACCTTATTAAGGCTTGTCTACTTTAGAATATCTTGGATATTTGGTTCAGCAATCCAGAAAACCTTATTTCCTTTTTTTTTGAAATCTTGTCTAGCTTTTCCTGCTTCTTTCGAGTTCTTACACTTACTTTTCTTTAAACTCTCCCAGCTGTTGATCAGATCAGTGATATGCTTCCTATAATAATATATAACTGGTTTAGAAAATATTATATTATCCAAAATTTTTGTAGTGTATTTTATGGTAACCTGTCCATTAAATATGAATTAAATTTTGTTTAACCTACCTTATAAATGGGTCAGTGAGTATCCCATCCTCGTATCCTCCGTCTATCCAAGGTTTCTTAACTGCAAACATAATGCAGTTTTCAGGACAGCTACCAAGACCAGAACACTTTGCTGTTTGATGACCAATGGTACAAGCAATCAGCTTTTTTGTTGGAGTTATTTTGTCTCCAGATCTTCTAAACTGAAAGTAGAGAATAATGTCTTTATTTGTTGAAAACATTATTTCTGGTAGGTTTTCTATAAGATCCTCTTCTTCAAAAAGATTTTGTTTTAAGCCTTGTTGATCTTGGCATCTTGGTTTCTAAACATTTGATTAAAGAAAACAATTCATATTCATTCTTTGATTAAATGACATGTATTTTACAATAACAATTTTGTATATAACCGCAGATAGTATACCTTTTATAGAATGTTATGGATACACAGGATACACAGAACACAGAGCAGAAAATTTAAAATTACGACAATATGTCTTCCGCAAATACGATAATTTGTTAGTTTATAAAATTACCACGAAAACTAATAAAAATTCCAAAATATTCAGTCATCAAAATGTTATCATAATTTAATATTTATATTGTCTTTTTTTCTAAAGAAAAAAAAGTGATTTTAAATAATATGATTTACAATAAAATTTAAATATGCCCCCCTCCCGTCTCCAACGAACAAAGTATGGGGGGGGAGGGAGGGAGGGGGGAGACATCTCCGAAAATAGGGTGAGGGGGGCGGATAGCTATTGACATGCCCCTTCTATATAAACATTATTAATGCTTAGTCCTAACATTATTTTTCAAAATTCGGCCTAAATATGAAGAATAAACAAGCATCAGTTATACGTAGTGGTGCGTCATTTTATGTAAAAATTCGTTTTTTTCGTCACTTTCTCCACACTATGTGGAATAAATACCACCATATTTCATTTTGGTCCTACTCTATTATAAATAAATAGCCCAAAATATACCATATAAAAGAAAAGTTGGCTTTCTGAGTTGATTTTAAAGGTCCCTGCCAGACCCCTAAAGTTTGATACGTTTTTGTACACAAATTTGACCGGCGGGGACCTTAAAGTCACGTGACATTAAAATTTTTGGGCTTAAAATTATTTTTATATTGGTGGTCAACCATTCCAGGTAGGACCAACTTGATTTTCGAAAAATATGAATCACCCTAATATATATATATATATATATATACATATATATATATATGTGTGTGTGTGTGTGTGTGTGTGTGTGTGTGTGTGTGTGCACATATCATTGTCATCATCATCAAAGGAACAAGAATATACCTGAATATCTGTGAGTTCTTTGAAAAGTCTTTTAGTTAAAGGAAAACCATTTGAAGTATCCACTCTTACAAACTGTAAAAAAGTATTAATTTTTTATATGAATTCATAAACACACACACATAAAAATCAATAAAATAAATAATGCCAATCAGTAGCACAAAAAAATAATAATACAAAACAAATGGGAAAAACAATGGAATGAGAGATGATTTTGAAGAATGCAATTTATTTGGTAAACAAAATTTTATTTTTATTTACATATTTATGCTAATTTACTGACCTCATCATTAAACAAGATCTTTTCAATAGGCAAAACAACACAGCCAGTACCAGCTCCAAATACCTCCTTGATCTAATAAAATTATGGATATATCAAAGTAGGAGATATCACAATTTAAAAAACCAACAATTTCTTCATTAAATTTTAACAATCTCATTAGGTCTTATTATTATTTAATTTTTTTATAAAATTTTATTTTCAATTTAATTCATATGATTTTATTTTCTTATGTTTACTCATAAATTTGAAGGATGATATAAATTCGTATCAAAAAATGTATTCTGTCAAAGTTATATTATTTTTATTAAGTAACTTAAAAATAAACCATATTTTACGACATTTACGACACTTAAGCAGTCAAACTTTTGTAATTTATAAAACAATTGAATAAATAAGAAAAAAAGCAAGCACTTAAAAGATCTGAAGTTAAAAAAAACTTTTTAAAATTAAGTTTCTATAAAAAATTTCTTTTATTAAAAAATATATTTCAAGTTAAAAATTTGATGCTTAAAAATTTTTATGTAAAAAACTTTAAATGATATAACTTAGACATTGAAGAATCGAGTCCAAGTTAAAATATTCAAAAAAATATGTATGATGCAAAATTTAAACAATAATATATATGTTTTGATTCTTGGAAAACAAGAGATACTAGTGTATATTTTGCTTCATACTTACCCTCCCTTCTTTTGAAGCTTTAATCATTTGGTGTATTGTATAAGTTTTTTCAGAAACTTTGAATTCATTCTAAATAAAAGATGAAAATCAAATTTAGATTTACTACATAAACTTCTACAATTTGAATTAGTGACCACATATATAATAAAATATTAAAATGAAATCTGGTATTAAAATTTATAATTTAATGAAGACATATCCAGAAAAGATTGCAATAATTAAATTATATGGATCAAAATATTTAAAATAATGGTTATGTGCAAAAATAATTAGAAACTTACTAGTTTTTAATATTTTATTAATAAAAAAATTAGATAAAAAAAACTTAATCAATTACGAGCGATAACACTCTGAAAGATAATTTTTGTTCTTGGATTTACAGTTATATTTCAATTGCTTACATCTAAGGATTTAATTGAGCACAAACTTTTATTTTAAGATTATGTAGACTAAATTGAGTCTTCTTCAAATATATATAATATATATATTTAGAAAATACATGAAAGAAAATAACAACTATTTATACTTCGAAAAAAGATCGGCAAATCAAGATTTTTTTATTTTTCATATATTTCTTTAGTTTTCTTTCATATATTTCTTTAGTTTTCTTTCATATATTTTTTAGGATTCTTTATTTACAATTTATTTTTTAGTTATGCTGTTATGCGATCTTGTAGTAATGTTTTTTCTTTAGTTTTTTAGCGTATAAAGTTTTACTTGTTATTTTTTTGTTATTCATTTATTGTTTTATTTTTTAGTTGATAATTATTTTTAAATAGTGATTGTTAAGGTATAATTATATTTATAAAATAATTATATTTTATTTTAACTATGTTTAAAAAGATTATATTTAGGAAAATATAATTTTTTATATAGTTACATTATTTGTTTTTATATTCATTTTAGCTATTTATTATATATGTTTTATTCTACCATGTAGTATTATATCTGCTGTACAGCAAAAGCTTGAAAAACTAATCGAAACAAAATCTAAAGGTTATGACAGAATGCACTCTCGTGCACTTCGCAATTGCGCTGCTGCTATCTCCGTACCATTAGCAATGATCTACCCCAACTTCCTCTCTGAAGGCAAAGTACCCAATCTATGGAAACTGTCAAATATAACACCAATCTTGAAGACCTTTAACAGAAGGAAGTGCTCAAACTACAGAACGATATCACTAACATCAGTACCATGCAAGATAATGGAGAGCTTCATTCATGAGCGAATCATGAAGCACTGCTATAACAATTGTCTATTTACAAAAGCTCAACACGGTTTTTTACCTAAGCGGGGTTGTGTGTTTAATCTCCTAGAAGTTTGCAACATTCTGACAGATGCAGTACATCATGGCTATGCCATAGACGTGATATACACTTATTTTGTGAAAGCCTTCGATAAAGTGCCGCACAAAAGACTTCTGCATATACTAAAAGCTTATGATTTATGCGGTTCATTGTTTAGATGGATATCAAACTGGCTGGCTGACCGAAAGCAAAGGGTTGTTGTTTGCAAAACTGAGTCTGAGTGAAAAGAGGTAACTAGTGGAGTGACTCAGGGATCAGTGCTAGGACTGTTGCTCTTCATCTTCTATATTAATGACTTACTGGATAACTTAGCTTACCACATCAAGATATATGCCGACGACAGCAAAATACTGGGTGTAATCAAAACAAAGGAGGACAAAGCACATCTGCAGCTAGATATTGATAACGCTGTAGAATGGTCCAAAAGTGGCAATTATTGTTCAACTTGAACAAATGCATGCACATAGGTTGCTCCAACAAATCAATCTACGTCTACACTATGACTGATCAGATGGGAATAAGACAAGAACTGGATACAACTTCAGTCGAACGAAATCTAGATGTTCTTATTTCAGAAGACTTAAAAGTCAAGCATCAAGTTGAAGCAGCGGCTGCAATAGCAAACCAAGTACGTGGTCAGCTTAAGAAATCCTTCAGAAGCCGAGGTCTCACACTTTGGAAAGTCCTTTACAAATCGTATGTTAGACCACACCTTGAATTGGCCATCCAATTGTGGTCGCCACATCTGAAGGAAGACATCAAGGCTCTCAAAAGTATTCAAAAACGTGCAACAAAGCTGATCACAGACATCAAACATAAATCATATAAAGAAAGAATTCCAATTCTAGGACTAACCAAACTAGAAGATAGACAAGTTAGAAATGATTTAATTCAATAATATAAGATTGCGCATGATTTGAGAAAATCGAATTTGTTGTGCCTCAAGTCTACGCACAAATGCTTTTCTGGTTTAATCTTCATGGCAATAACTTAAGACTTACTAAGTCGATAGGCAAGAGCTGTGTTGAAAGAGAAAAGTTCTTCACAAACCGCGTAGTCAACACATGGAATGCTTTACCATCAAAGGTTGTTAACGCCTTTTCAAACAATGCATTCAAAAGTCGATTTGACGCATTAACAGTATAAAAATAGGCACATCGTGTATCCGATATTTGTCAGCATGGAGGTGCCTGGTGCTGCACCTCTTCATCGATATATTATAAACATTTTATTCTTCATGGACTAAAATTGTTATAAATATTATTGATTTCTGAATAAACAAATTTAAAAAAACATATATTTTTTTCTTCTTTATTTGTTATTGTTTTTTGTTTTTAATTTTTTAATTTTTTTTTGTTTTTTTGTTGCCAAAAGTAGTTAACTTAATGTTTGTTGTAACTTTTGTTTTGTTTTGATTTTCTTAGTGTATTTCTGTTTATAATTTATTTATTTATTT